CTCCTCACAGTCATGTCCTATGACCGCTATGTTGCCATCTGCCAGCCACTCCGATATGGGACCATCATGGGCCACCAAGCCTGTGAGCAGATGGCAGCGTACTCGTGGGTCAGCGGAGGCTTCAACGCAGTTCTGCACACAGCTGCCACCTTCTCTGTGCCCATGTGTGGGCCTCTTGAGGTCCACCAGTTCTTCTGTGACATCCCGCAGCTGCTCTCCCTTGCCTGTTTCTCTAACGTCAGGGAGTTGGTAGTCATTGGGCTCAGCCTCCTGTTGGATCTTGGCTGCTTTGTGTTCATCGATGTTTCTTACTTCCACATCTTCTCCACCGTGCTGAAGATGCCCTCCAGAGAAGGCCGCTCCAAAGCATTCTCCACGTGCCTGCCTCACCTGGTGGTGGTGACTCTGTTTCTGTCTTCTGGGTTTTTTGCCTATTTGCACCCCCTTCCCGAGTCTCCAACATCCTTTGATTTGCTTGTTTCTGTCTTCTACACAGTGGTGCCTCCCACTGTGAATCCTCTCATCTACAGCCTGAGGAACAAGGACATGCAGAAGGCACTGAGAAGACTGCAGCTGAGTTGGTGTCGCCCTGCACGTTAGAAGAGCTTTGCCTCGTACATCATGGTCTTTTCATTGCTCAACACAGCTGCCTGAACAGTCAGGTTCCTTTGTCTGAAAATGTTGGACATTTTCAGAATGCTCAGGACCATCTTACCTTGCCCATTACAGTGTGGCTGGGAAGTGGGCCTCATGTGTGATCAAGCGGGTATTGAAGACAGTAGGATCCACATGTTATGGGCCAGATACATGCTGACCTTATTTTGCATATCCTAATGGGACCTTCTTCTCTCCAAGCTGTGAACAGAAGGATGCTGAGACATCAGAGACAGACTTGGCCTCTCCCAGATAAACCGAACACACAGTCACTCTTAGCAAAAGAGAGATCTCAAATGTCATGTGAGCTGGCATGTATAATCTATGATGATATTTAAGGAACTGGAGAGAAGTGATGGACCCAACCTTGTGACAGTGCTAAATGCCACAGAATTATACAAACTTAGAGAGCTAAGTTTATGTTAGACAGTGGTACCTTGGTTCACAAACAATTCATTCCACAATTCTGGGGGAGAGGCTGGATACATGTTCATTCGGGGCAGATGGCTGCAGTCCTGTTCAGTACCCAGTGTGGAGTTCACACACTGCAGCAGAATTTTGATGAATGCTTCTGTTTGGGAACCAAATTGTTTGCAAACAGAAACTTTCATGAACTGAGGTATTACTGAATTAGTTTCCTATCACCAACAGTCCAAAAGCAAAATCTCAACACAGTTCTGTTCTTCTAGCTTCTGCTTTGTTTCCCAAACCCGCTTCATGCTGATCTCTGTGACTGCTTGTGTCCTGGAAGTCTAGTGAGAAGAGATG